CATCTGCCGGGCTCGAAGAGCAGCGGCATCAGCGTAGCGTTTACATTGCTGAGCTTAGGCAGCCCGTTCCTTGGCCAATGTGGCTTCAATCGCACTCGGGCGGCTTCCGCCTCCGCTCGAACACTTTCTGCCTGGGCCCGAGCAGCTTCGGCTTGGGCTCAAGCAGCCTTCTCCTGATCGAGAGTAGCCGCCATCTCTTTCAAGGCGGCCTCTTTTTCCGACACCGCAGCTTCCTTGGCCGCGAGAGCAGCATCTCTCTTAGCAATAGCCTTTCCTTTATTACTGAGCTCTTCGTTGAGAGATCTAATCTTGACGTCGAACTCAGTCTTCTGTTCTGTTTGTGTCTCGCGGAGTTTAGCATTATGCTGCAGGAGGGTCGAATTTTTATCCTGCAGATAGCCGATGGTGCTCTCGAGACCCTTGATCGACTTGCCCGAGCTGTCCCGAGCTTCCTTGGCCAGAGGCAAAAAATCAACCAAGCCCTATCAACAAAGAGGACAAGGTAATTCAACGTATGTATCGACAAAGAAAAAGGAGAAGAACCAATGTAGAGTAGAGGAGTAATACCTGAGCAAACCACTCACGAGTTTATCCCCAACCTCGGGCAGGGTGATGTTGGCTTTTTGCGATCGTCCTCGAGGAGGGCACCCTCGAGGCGGTCGGCCACCTCATTAGCGGAGGCCGACAAGAGAGAGGTCGGTTTCGGGGCTAACGGATCAGGAGGAAGATAGCCAGCGCGCCCCCGCTTGACAACGACCTCGCTCTGCTCAGTTTGAGGGCGTTTGCCCAAGGCTGACTCGCGTCCCCCGTCATCACAATTGCCGGATTCGACCAGAGCTTTGGTCGATACGACAAGAGTGGTTTTGAAGGATTGGTGGGTGAGGGGCAGTTTTTCTTGGGTTTTGGTTTTGGAGAATGTGTTAGGCTCGGAGGCTTTATCGACAGCTCTGCCTTGAAGGTTGGCTTTGGGTGGGGAGTTTCGTGGACCTATCTTCTGATGCCAGCCGTCGGCTTTCTGATGGCGGTCGACGGTTCTTTGACGATCACCGGTCTTAGGTTGGTGATCGACGGTTTTCGAGGAGTTTGAGGATTTTGTGGTCGATTG